GGCACCTCTGCCCGTGGCGCACCGAGCCCCAGAGGGCTGCGTGCCCCCCGTCCCGCACGTCCACCACTGCCCCTGCCTGCAGGGCAGAGCGCACCCCCCCGCAGTGCAGAGCCCTCTGCCACGGAGCTGCTGCCTCCCCCCAGGGCAGCACCTGCAGGCCCCGGACCCAGCGGGCAGGGGCAGCGGGCACACCCTGCAGGGCCTCGAGGAGCCATCAGCACTTGTCTGCAGGAGCACGGGGTCCCCGCAAAGAGCAGGTGATCCTGAGAACAGCCAAAGGGGACCCGGGCCGCACAGAGACACGGGGCCCGCGGCGGGCGGGGCAGGGGCTGAGGACAAGGACTCCGGGTCCGCGGGGCAGCCCGACACGGCGGAAAGGGGGGCTGAGCCCTGCGCGTCACAGACGGACGTCCCCGTGAACTCAGAACGTTTGCACCCGAACGAACCAAAATTTCTATTGAACCATTTCGTGGGGGAGGCTGGGTGCGGGTCCTGCCCGAACCGCCCCCAGGGCTGCGGCAGGATGGCGCGGGCGCGGTGCGGTGCCCACTGCCGGATGCCCGCCTTCGAGGCCGCCGTGCCTGCTGTCTTAGCACACGCGGAACTTTCTGGTGAAAGTCTGTTAATAAAAACACTTTAATAAATGCAGTATTAAATTCTAAATTCCGAACCGGCGCCTCGATTGTTCCTTTGAAGGGGAAATGAAACCCAGAAGGTTAGAAAAGGAGCCCAGATGTGCAGGAAGGAGAAGGTTTCACTTTGTTAAAAATCACGGGAGACTTCGGTATTCCGTGTGAACGGTCGGACACGTATCTAAGAAGTGGTGGTGGATCCTGTTTTATACTTTCAAAAAGTCCAGTTGTCTTACATCTAAATCCAGTTCGAAACATAACCGTCTCTCCTAGCAGTGATTCAGAGAGCGGAGTGTGAGTTACCTAGAAGTTTCCGTTCTCCTGGAAACCCCGTTTGCCTGATAGCTGCTTCTAGCTGCTTCTGGTGCTGTGGTTGTCAGTAGTTAGGGCCTTTGATTGCATACAATGAATGTGGGTTTTGGTAGAGCTCCTTTCGCTGGAATTCAGGAAGTGGATCCCTCGGCATCCTGCCCCCAGGTTGGTCCTCTGAAGAAAACTGGTGGAGATATTTCTAAATACCATGTCCTCCAACTCCCCAAAGTTATATTTGTTATTTTCTAGGAATAGTTTTCTAAATTAGATCTGCCTCTTATTCAGGGCTTTCAAAAAAGAGTTGGAAGGGATCTCATGGTGCCCTAACTCCAAGCCACCGCCACCAAACCACAGTTCTAGGTGGCTTTCCAGCGTTCGCTTGAATACTCCAGTGACATTAATTCCTTATCACTGGGCAGCGCAATGTCACTATTTCTGACTCTGTATTGTCCTAGAGAATTGCAGAGCAGGTAATAGATTAAATGATGAGAAAAGGGCCCTTTCACTGTGAAATATTTGTAACTGGGATGGTATTTGCTTAGTGAAGGAATTACAGGCTGTTCCTAGGACATGCCTTTGAGGTTGGGGTCCCCGTGACCACAGTCGGTTCCTGACTCCCCTACAAGGTCGCCTTCTAAGCCCCGGCTGACTGGGAAGTGGGGTGGGCCCAGAGCGTCACAGAGAAGAGCTGCATTGTTTGAAAGAAGCTTTGCGGCTTCCCCTGGCAGGTAATTGCTGTGAAATGCACACCCCCCTAAGACAATATTCTTTGAAGGTATGCCGCGCTGCTCTGATATTAAATGTCATTGCAAGAATAGATGCCCCCGCCTCAATCATCCTCACTTTTGAAACTTTGTGTCACGGGTAATAGGAAGAGTAGCTTTACAAATGGGGTCTCACGGACCATTAAATGTTCCTGATTCGCGTTGGTTCACATGGAAACCGCCTTTCCACCAGCCGTTAGGACCGTTCCTGAAGGAAACATGAGGAAACAATGACTGTGAAAGCAGCTGTCTTTTCTCTTAAGAAAGGAGGGGTCATGTGAGAAGGAAAAAAATGAAGCCTGGGTTAAAAAACCTCAGAGACCCAATTGAGATTGCTTCTCATTGGATTCAGACATAGCCACGGGAGTAGAAATTTGTTGAAATTATGAGATATGTGTGTGTTTGTTTTTAATGCAGAGATAACTACATGTTCAAATATTCTTTACAGCACAGCGGATTTTTCCATAATGCTTGCTGGCTTTTAGTTTATCTCCAGTTGCTACACTAATCTATGTGATCCATGATGGGGTGTTTTGTTGTTAAAACGGCCACTTTCATTAATGTTTGATTTTTATATACTCAGAGGTTTTATATTTTTGCACTAAATAGATAGAAAAAGAGATAAGGCATGAATATCTGTAGTTGACTAGTAGAATCTTGTACCTTTTGCTGTTGACAGTGTTTTAACTGCCCTAATTTTGGATTTGTGTTTGTGTGTGTGTGGATTTTATGTGTGTCTCTTCTCATGAGCTTAGGAAACCAGTGTGCACACCCAAGAACAACTCAACAAGTGACCAGATCAACACCGTTTCCATGGACTTCCCTGAGCCCTCGGTTGCAGCATGAACGTGACCACACGCCGGCCAGCTAGGTCACAGCTTGCTAACTCGGCAGGCCTTCCTGGGAGTGGGGTGTGAGCGCTGTTCTAATTGCAGGGAGGGGAGGGGGAGAAAGCAATGATGTTCTCTGCCTTCAGCAGTCTGTTCAAAAAAGGGGCCCTCCTAGAATGGACATTCTTCAAGAGTGTCTTTTAGGCCACCTTGAGGCCTGTAGAATTTTAATCTTGAATAAGAAGATAAGTCACCCCGGCCGGCATGGCTCAGTGGTTGAGCATCCATCCATGAACCGGGAGGTCCCAGCTCAATTCCCGGTCAGGGCACATGCCCGGGTTGCAGGCTCCATCCCCCATGTGGGGCATGCAGGAGGCAACCTATCAGTGATTCCCTCTCATCATTGATGTTTCTCTCTCTCCCTCTCCCTTCCTCTCTGAAACCAACAACAAAAAATATTTTTTAAAAAGAAGATAAGTCAACGGCCAGGTTGTTAAGAGCATCTCTGTAGAGCATACATCTTCCTCTGAGGGGGTTTAAGCCAACATTAGAAACACCAGTCAGCACCTCCCCCGTCCTCCCCGGGCCCCTAAAATGCGATCCATTTCTTGACTTGCTGCTTATTATTCATGACTCTGTGATATCTCCCACCCTGACTGTCACAGTGAGTCGAGTTACAGTTAATATACTCAGACCAACCGGAATAGCCAAACCTTGACATTTATAATCACGTTTTTTCACATAACTTTCTGTCCTGTCACTACATCTTCCTAAAAAATGAAGGGCAGGTTATGTTCAGTAAGAGGTTTGTTGTTGTTGTTTTAACTAGTAGGATTCTTATAAATGAGCTGGTTTTAACTTGAGACAAAGTGACAATCAGGAAATTTTGCTCCACCTCTATCCACTAATTGGACCTTTCTGGTCAGCGATCTGGACTTCCGATTTCCACTATTTAAAGGAGAACGGATTTGCTAAGTAAATCAGTAACCCAAACGAGATTACAAAGAGGCTATTTGCCTGCCTAAGAGATCAAACCTCCAGAGTTTACAACACTGCGTTAGTGCAGTATTTTTGGCAGCATCATATGACCCTTAACAAATCTCACTGATAAAGAATGATCCAGTAGGACTGACTCTCTCGAAGCAAATCTCTACCAGATGTTTAGGAACTAGCTGAGAATCATAAAATAGCATCTATTTCTAAACAGACTTAGCTGTGATCTCTGTTGGATGCTCTTCACTCCCATGAGGGCCACTGTTCGGCCGCGGAAGCGCCCTGGTCTGCAGGGACACTTTGGATCCTCAGCACTCTGGCCGCTGGCCAGCGACATTCAACATTCGACGTAGCCTGGAAGGGCGGGATGTGCACTAAAGCCGCAGGCTTACCCTCCCTCCAGCAAGTTTTCTTTCCATGCAGACATCCGAGAGGTGGCTTTGGGAAACCAGCAAATCTCTGGCGACATCCTCACTCAGGTTGAAGTTCACCAGTGTCTGCCCTTTCCTACAGTCTGATCTCTTCACCTTCCGTTTTCTGAATAGTGTGTGTGTGATTAGTGGGATAGGTCAGGTGGGAAGAGGTAGATGCTAAACAATCTTGAGTCGTTGAGTAAGATCCCAACTTGAATTTTCACCCTATTCTGAAAAGGACCTGAAAAGAACCCTGAGCCCTAGCCGGTTTGGTTCAGTGGACAGAGTGTCGGCCTGTGGACTGAAGGGTCCCGGGTTCGATTCCAGTTAAGGGCACATGCCCGGGTTGTGGGCTCGATCCCCAGTAGGGGGCATGCAGGAGGCAGCCGTTGGATGTTTCTCTCATTGATATTTCTCTCCCTCTCTTCCTTCTTCTCTCTCTAAAAATAAAATTTTAAAAATGCCTGGAAGAAAAAATACTTCCACAACACCTGTAACAGAGGATCAATATCTCTCTCATCCAGGACTGAAAGAAAAGGAAACCCAGTGGAAAAATGGGCAGATGATGGAAACAGGCACTTCACCGGCGGAAGCTTCCAAATGGGCCATCTGTTGGCTAGATGACTTACTTAAACCATCGGATTGGCCAGAATCTTAAAGATGGATGACGCCCAGCGCCGGAGAGAACGTGGGGGAAGGAGGCGGTTTGGATGAGTGAAAATCAACACAATATTCTAGAACGTCAGCTCCTGACAACCATTGGGAATGTTTATAGTGTGTGACACACGAGTTCCATTTTTAAGGCTCTTTCCTCTGGTGACGACAGCACACGTGTGCCAAATATATGTGTGTGTGCGGGCGAGGGTGTTCGTGATGAGAATTTAAAACAAATGTAATCTCCGCCAATAGATTCCCGGTTAAATAAAACTACGGAATGCTTCGCATCGCCCACAAAAAGCGATGCAGTGTTTCTTAGCTGAGTGGAAAGATACCCAGGGCGCAGAAGGAAGCGGGGGAAAGTGTTGCCAAGAAAATGTTTAGAACGAGTCGCACAAAACTTTTAGCAGAGGCTTGCCCGGCCGGCGTGGCTCAGTGTATAGAGCGTCGGCCTGCGGACTGAAGGGTCCCAGGTTTGATTCCGGTCAAGGGCATGTACCTTGGTTGCGGGCACATCCTCAGTAGGGGGTGTGCAGGAGGCAGCTGATCGATGTTTCTCTCTCATCGACGTTTCTAACTCTATATCCCTCTCCCTTCCTCTCTGTAAAAAAATCAATAAAATATATTTTTAAAAAACCAAAAAACTTTTAGCAGAGGCTCCCTCTGCGGACCAGGGCTGAATTTCCCTTGATGTCCCTGCTGACCAGGTGTAGATCCTAATGACGAATGAAGGAGTCATTTCCCCTTACTTGTGTGCTTTTTATTCAATGTGACTTTATTTGCTTTAAACATTACAATAATAAAATCATTAAGTGACACAGGTCAGCCTCCATGCTGGAATTGAAGTGTGGCCTGTAATTGAGGTGTGTGCTGTCATCGAGGTGTGTACGAGACGTATGGGAAACAGAAGCAGGGAAGGTAGGAGGCACCCCGAGTGTTTACTGCCATCTATGTAATTAGCCCCTTTTCATTTATGAGCCCGGGGATCCCTTAACAACCTTAGGGAAGAAGCCAGCAATATCATCCCTAGTTTATGGATGTGCACACTGAGGAGACACTCAT